ATGACGTGCCACAAAACAGCTGTGAGCTAATGACCAATTTTTATTTTGGGTAATTGTTGGCAGGGACACCAGGAGAGCGCAATTCCCTTCTCAGGGCATACCAAGTCTTAAAGGGTTAAATTATGAGGACAGGTTGCATAAATTTGGTCTCTATTCACTTAAGTTTAGCAGGTTGAGGGATGATCTGATTGAGGTGTTTAAAATAATAAAGGGAAACTATTTCCTCTGGTGGGGATTCCAGAACAATGGGCATCATTTTAAATTAGAGCTAAGCCATTTAGGAGTGAAATCAGGAGGCATCATTTCATGCAAAGGGTAGCGGAAGTCTGGAACTCTCTCACTCAAAAGGCTGTGAGTGTTGGATCCATTTACATTTTCAAGACTGAGGTAGATAGATGTTTGTTAGTTCAGGGTATCAAGGGATATGGGGCAAGGTTGGGGAATTGGAGTTGAGGTACATATCAGCCGTGATATAATAAAATGGCGGAACAGGCTCAAGGGGCTGAATGGCCGACACCTGTTCCTTTGTTCTCTTTATCAAACAGTGACACGGGATCGTTAACGTTCGGCTGAACAGGAACAGATGGGAAACTCGGTTAAACATCTCATCTAGAGGATGGCATCTCCGACATGCGTCGAGACAACAACAAATTACAACAAACTACTTTTGTATAGCGCCTTTCACGTCAGGAAGACATCCCATGTGTGTACTCAAAGTCCTGAGGTTGGGGCTTAAACTCACAACCTTGTGACTCTGAGATGAGAGTGCCTCTGACTGAGCCAGGCTGAGACCGAGCAGGCACTATTCCAGACAGCGGTGTTTCAAAACCTTTTCACGTGATCAAGTGCTACATAAACAGAAACTTTTTTTGTTTAATTTCTCAACAAGTCACTAAACCTGAGTCTTGTGACATTAAAGAGAGACGCCTCTCCCCCAACATGTGGAGTCCTGTAGAGTATTGGTTAGAGAACTCTCCTCATAGGTGAGAGGACTAGGGTTTGATTCCTGGGTGGGGCAGAACCTGAGACAAGTTTCCTTACTCCACACTCCTCTATTTACCTAGCAGTAAGTAGGAAGCAGGCTATTCGATTGCCGGATCACTTTCTGGGGGTAATTGAATGGGCGAATCACTCAATCCACAACTGTTTGTGAGACACTGCTGTGCGCAATTGTCTACTGCGTTTGTTTAAAACTACAGTCAATTCACTTTGCAGAACATGCTATGAAGCACTTTGAGATATCTCAACAACATGATAAGGTGTTATATCAAATGCAAGGATTATTATTATAAATATTAACGGGGCCGAGAGGGTGAGTGAAGGGAGGTAAGATGACTGAAAGCGTGGCCACTATAATGTGCAAAGCAAGTGGGGGGAATTTTTCTCTCACTTTGTTCTGGCTAATATGCCTCGCTCATGTAAATTCATTCACCTTGCCCCACCACAAAAAGAAATTGTATGAATTTGATATTATGTAAAACGGAAGTATCAATAGGACAAAAAAGCAATTATAATAAATAATCCTTGCATGTGACATGCTTCAATGTATCAAATAAATAAGTGATATTACAGATGATATATTGAGGTATAAGAATTGTATTTAATAACCCTCAATGTATAAAATATATGAGTAAGCTTGCCAGGCAGGGCACTCAGGTGAGACATCAAACGGCAAGCTATGTGATTTTAGCTGGTTAGACTCCAACACACATTCTGAGATCCCCCAAGCCTTGGCTCTTGACAATTTGCACCTAATACTCTCTGGGATTAGATAAGCAGGATGTGTCCATCTGGGGAGAGAGAGAGTGCATTCCATTCCAGACACTGGGAAATTTCCAGGTGTGTGTGGCATACATACTTGGAACTCCAATCTAGTTTGGAGATTCTTAAGAATGGCGATGTGTTTTGGCGTGTGACAGACACCTGGCTGATCAAAACCCGATATATGAGGGCTGAATGTCAGCTCTAATAATAACAACAACTGGCGCCTCTCACGCAGAGTAACGTCTGGGCCCCAGGCTGGCTCTTCAAAGCCCAGCATGGAGGTGAGTTACAAATACTCTGGTGCAATATTTAGTGTCAATACTGCTCTTCCTCCCTGCGAGATTGCAGTGTTGAAATCACCTCCCCGCTTCAAGCATTCGTCACAACCAGCGTAATGGTCACTCAGTCCACGGCTGTTGGTGGGACACTGCTGTGCACAACTAGCTGTGTTTCGCCCACAAACTACACAGTCACTCCACTCCACTCCACCACGTTTTGCTACAAATTACACAATCATTCCACTTTACATTAGATCCTGTGAAGCGCTTTGAGATGTCTCGATGATGTGATAAGGTGCTATATTAAGCGCAAGGGTTATTATTATTAATGTGGGGAGGCTGTGCAGCAGTCACAGAGTGAAGCATGCAGACAGTGCTGTTTGTAATCATCTCTCCTGAGGCTCCGTCACAGATAATAACAATCCTTGCATTTTATACAGCACTTTATCACGTCAGCAGGACGTCTCAAACCGTTTTACAGGATGTACTGTTGTATGCAGTGACTGTGTATTTATAGGACAACGCAGAAGCCAATCTGCACACAGCAATGTCCTACAATCAGCCATGACCCTATGTGAAAGGCGCTGTATAAATACAAGGTGTTGTTATATTTATTAATAACAATTTGTGCATTTGATGCAGCGCCTTATCATATTGTTGAGACATCTCAAAGCGCTTCACAAGATCTAATGTAAAGTGGAATGATTGTGTAATTTGTAGCAAAATGCGGCAGCCGGTTTGCAAACAGTAATGTCCCACAAATAGCCATGGAGTTAGTGATCAATTGTATCTGGGGGATTGTCAACCAGGACAGGGGGAGAGAAACTCTCTTCTCTTTTCGAGTAGTGCCACAGGATATTTAATGTGAATAGACTTACGGGACCTTGGTTTGATGTCTCACCTGAAGGACAGCACCTTTGCCAACGCAGTGCTCCCCACAGCACTGCACTGGAACATCAGTCTAGACTGTGAGCTCAAAGTCCTGACGTAAGGGCAGGGCTTGAACCCACAAGTTCCTGACTCAGAAGTGAAAGTGCTACTGACTGAGCCAGGCTGACAATGATGTGGGATGTTGCTGTGCGCAAATAGGCTGTTGCGTTCAACAACAAAATACACAGTAAGTACACACCCTAGTGAATTGCTTTGTGACTTCTTCCCAACATGAGAAAGGCACTGTATCATATGGTGCATTATTATAATTCGCCCACACACAGTCAATTCACTTTACAGTATATTATGTGAAGCGTTCTGAGACGTCGAAGATGTGATAAGGCGCTACATCAACTGCAAGGCTTATCATTATAATAGAACAGGACACAATTGAAGTGTTTCTGGTGTCCTGTTATGTCGGAGCTCACTCTGCTGGGGGGGGTGTGTATAGCAGCTAAAACCTGAAGGACAAAAATGGTAATATTGGGAACCCGTCTCAACGGGTTTGGTGACCTGTTTACCAAAGCATCAAACTCCGTCTCTTGTTCTGTCAATGGTGTGTCAGTGGGGACTCTCTGGGTAGCGCTCGCACATGAGTTAGAAGATTGTGGGTTCCAGCCCCAGGTTGGGACTTGGCCCTCACAGTCCAGGCTGACACTCGAGCGCAGTGATGCGCTGTCAGAGGTGTTGTCCTTCAGATGAGATGTTAAAGCGAGGTCTCCCTCCTCCCGCGGGGCAGGGTCTCTGCCGACACTGAATCGGGGCGTACACGTCCCCTTTAATGAGAAGGTGGCGGCCGCTGGTTTTGTGCATGAAAAGGGGATTTTAGGCCATGTCTAATTATATTATTGTTAAACTTAAACCGTTTGTTCCCACCCACCCCTGGAAGACCCTTTTTTACACACAGTTTGCACATAAGCACTGATGAGCAATAGTCTTGGGCTCGTTTGGCGCTTGTGTTGGGCTACAATGTGACGCTCCTTGGAGGCGACGTATGAGATTGGGCTACTTTGGGCTATAACAACACGCGCGCGAGGATGACGTAACACAGGGCGCTAATTTGGGCTACGTTTCGGGCTCGTTGTTTGGGTTCTACATGTCGCGTCGAGAGGCGGTGACGTAGACCATTGGGCTATATTTGGGCGATAAAGTGACGCGCCTACGAGACGACGTCGGCCGTTGGGCTGTTTTTGGGGCTCGTGTTCGGTGGACTTTGGGCTACAGAGTACAGTTGAGCGTGTGGCCGCCCCGGAGCCGCGACAGAGAGAGAGAGAGAGGCACAGCCCAGAGCACAGCACAGAGCACAGCACAGCCAGGCAGCGGGGTCTGGGCACAGAGAGAGAGAGAGAGAGAGCCTGGACTGGGGGTCAGAGCTGGGAGAGGCCGGGGATCGAGGCCTAGAGAGAGAGACAGAGAGAGAGAGCCTGGACTGGGGGGGTCAGACCTGGGAGAGGCCGGGGATCGAGGCCTAGAGAGAGAGAGAGAGAGAGAGCAGTGTTTTTTTACCCCCCCCTCCCCCCCCCCTGTGTTTGGTCGGGGATAGATATTCATGTGGTGTTGGTTGACTATCTCTCGTTTCAAAATCTGTGATTTTTTTTTCTATGTCATTTCTGTTGAGTATTTTGTTGGGGCCACCGATGGCTTAGAGCGAAGAAAGGAGAGAGAGAGAGGGAGAGGGAGAGGGAGGGAGAGCGCTCCGAGACGTGACCCCCCCCCGGGGGTGAAGGACACGACCTGAAGACAAGTTGTTGCTCAGAGCCCAAAGACGGAGAGAGAAAGAGAGAGACTCCGGGACCGAGGACCGGGGAGAGACGAGAGAGAGAGTTCGGGGGCAGGAGACTGGAGCGCGGGGGGAAAAGAGAGAGACCGCGCTCCAAGGCGCGACCCTGCAGGAAGGGCTCTGTATAAATGCATGTTGTTGTTGTTGTTGTTGTTTAGAGCCGAGAGAGAGAGAGAGAGGAGCCTGGGGACCGAGGACTGGAGAGGGAGCGAGAGAGAGCAGAGGGGCAAGAGCCAAGAACGAGAGGGCGGGAGAGAGACCAGGAACGGGTTTAGAGAGCGAGAGAGACACCGGGGGAGAGTGTGGCTACGGGTGGCTGGTGGCCATCTCCTGTTAGTTATTACTTCTCTTTCTGTCTGTCTGTCTGTCTGTGCTAGTGTTTGGTGTATAATGTGGGGTGGGGCAGAGGGAGGCAGCCTCTGGTTCAGGCGGGCAGGAGAAACAGCTTTTATTGTGTTTTTTATACATAATGTAATGTGATTATAATGTGATGTGAAAACACAGAGGATTCAGAGACCCCACAACCATCATCCAGCCACCAACAGCAGGTCAGTGACTGACACAGAATCTGTACACAGAGTGATCTATATGTTTTTTTTTGGTCGGCCGGGTGTCTGACACATGAAAACCCATCTCTATGCTTAAGAGTATCCAAATCAAGCTGAGAATTCCATGCATCCGACCGACACATGGAAATCCCAGAGATAGGTTGTTGGATTGGAACGACTGTTTACCTAATTTCGGAAGGTATGAGGCACCGTTGGCAGGAGCCAAGGCTTGGGGTCCCCAGAGTGTGCGTTGGGGTAACTGCTGGAGTCTAACCAGCTAAAACTGCATGGCTAGCCATTGATATAGCTATACTTATACAGCTTCTCTGCATGGAGGGCACTATATAAATGCAAGTTGTTGTTGTTGTTGATATTGCTTTCTGACTAGCTTTCCCGTTGCTTGTCCAGTTACTACCACCCATTTGGGCTTTGGTTTGTAGGGTTAACAAGAGCTGAGTTTATATCTCCAGTGTCTGTGCAGAGTGATATGTTAGGATAACAGCCTGTAGAAGTGTCACGCACAGTGCCAGTCTGTACACACAGAGCCTGATAAAGAATAACAACAACAAATTACGTTTGTATAGAGCCTTTCATGTCAGGAATACGTCCCAAGGTGCTGGACAGTTAGGGATCCACACTCAAGCTGGTGGTTGGTATCAGGAGGGGTGGAAGGCGGGGAGGGTAGGAGTAGGAGGGTGCCCTAAGGCACGGTCGAACAGGATGGTCTTGAGATGGGTTTTGAAGGAGGCAAGGGAGGGGGCGAGGCGGAGGGACTGTGGGATGGAGTTCCAGAGTGTGGGGGCAGAGAGGCTGAATACCCCGCCAATAGTGGGGCAAGCGAGGTGGGGGACGTGAAACAGGCTGGAGCTCACTGAGGGGACGCAGCGGACAGGTTGGTAGAAGGTTAGGAGGTCACAGAGGTAGGGGGGGGACCAAGGCCATGGAAGGCTTTGAAGGTGAGGACCAGGATCTTGAACTGTAGCCTCTTGTGTGATGAGAAGCCAGTGGAGCCGGACGAGGATGGAGGTGATAGGGTCACAGAGCTTGATGCAGGAGAGGACATGGACTGCAGAGTTCTGGATGATCTGCAGCCTGTGGAGGGAGGAGTTGGGGAGGCCGACAAGCAGGGAGTTTGCATAGTCAAGCCTGGATTTAATGAATGTGTGGATGAGGGTCTCTGTGGCCTGCAGTGGCGGAGCTTGGCAATGTTGCAGAAGTGGGGTAAGGCGGAGTGGATCATGGCACAGATGTGGGGATGAAGTACAGTTGAGGGCCGCACAGAATGCCGAGGTTCTGCATTGGCTCCGTGAGGTGTAGAGTGCATCCATGGAGGGAGATACCGTCAGCACTCGAGGTATAACAGTGTCTGTACACAGAGATCGTGCATAGAGTGACTAACCATCACAGAGTACACACAGTCTGTACAGAGTGACCCACATAATGCTCCTTTCTGGTACAGAGCGAGGTCACCTATTTATATACAACTTTTTTATATATACACAACACATATTTACTGTCTATACATGCACACACAATACAATATGTGTAGATGTGTGCATACTATGTATGAACTATGCGCACTATATACTCTATATATGCACACATGCAAAGGATTATTTTATGTATCCTTATCTACGCACTATATAAATGCAAGCTACTTTACATACATATTTGTAAAGGGATGTTATGTGAGCTTATGTGCATGTGACAAATGCAATTAGTGTATTTTGTATGCATTGAGGAAGAGAAATAGGTGATTGATTGTGTGTGTGTATATATATACACACTAAGTACTACATTTATATGCAAGTATGTATATATGTGGAGTCTCTGCTCATTTATATCTGTTGTATGTATAGTGTGTATATGGTGTGTAAGGCTTATTTTACACTAATTATATATGCATATACAGTATTGTGCGATTGGCTGGTTTACATATCTAGGGTAGGAGGGATTTGAATTTATTTATATATGGGGAACTTTCTTTCAATCTCCCCACATGTCTTTTCATAACTTTATTAATAACTCGTGTTCAGTTCCTTCTGAATGATTCCATTGATTCAGCCTCAATAGCCACTTGTGTGTGATGAATTCCACACCCCAGCAACCCCCTGAATGAAGGAAGCCCTATTTTTCACCAGTTTTCCAACGAAAGGAAATAGTTTTTCTCTATTTGCTTGGTCATGTTGTTGTAAGTCATAAACTTACAGTCAATTCACTTCACAGGATATTCTGTGGAGTACTTTGAGACGTCTCAAAGACGTGATGAGGCGCTATATCAAATGCAAGGATTATTATTGTTATTATGAAGTCAACAAGTGACATACGTATTGACATACATGCCTGGAATGTTAAACCTGCATTGAGCAAAGCTATGGATCCACTGCATGTGAGCTAGAGGGAATTTTATAGACTCCATGGACTGTGTTTAATTTGGGTGTCCATTTGGCTCAGTTCTTGCCTCTGTTCCTCCAGCTGCATACCATTGCAGCCAGTCTAGTCTTGCCACCCGTCACTCACACCTCGTTCCCTCAGGCCATGGTTTAGAGCTCGAGCTCTTCATTGGACATTGGAAATTCCAGTGGAAAATGGCCATCCTCTTGTGTGTACGGCCCATTTTGGAATCCTGTAGAGTATTGATTAGAGCACTCGCACTGAATATGAAAGGACTTGAGTCCGATGTATTGCTTTTCCGGGGGTAATAATCCCTTCAAAAAAAATAATGATTTGGTCACTCAATCTAAGACTGTTTGTAGCCCCACTGCTGTGTGCAATTGGCTGCCGGGTTTCGCCCACAAAATATACAGTCAATTCACTTTACGGTATATTCTGTTAAGCACTTGTGATGTCTCAACGACACGATGAGGTGCTATATCAAAGGCAAACATTATTATTGTTATTTTCTGTACTTTCCATAATTTGAATGTTGTGCCGCTGGCTCCCAGTTTCTCCCAGATCAACGCCAATCAAATCCCTTCACAATCTTACTCACCCCACTGCTGCCATGTCCTGCGGCCCTATTCTCCTGCCCGTGCCCTCTATTCCTCTGACTCTGATCAACTCATTTCTCCTTCCCTCTATGGCTTAACCTTCAGTTACTACACTTCAGAGTTCTGAAACGCAGTACTGGAATTCCTTTTATCTCTGCCTTCAAACCCTCATTAAGATGTTATCTCTGGGTGTCTTTGGTCAACACTCAAGCTATCAAACTTCCCTCTCTGTTTGGAGATGTCTTTGTAAAGTGCTTTGAGGTGCTGATCCTTGTCATCAGGTACATATCGCTGCATGGCGCTGTCCCACTAGACCTCTGCAACTTCCTGCAGTACTTAGAAAACACCGGCATGCCTCATGTCCTCCCTCCGGCTCATGTGCTTTCAGCCATCCTGCCGCCATCCTCAGGAAAACCAACTTGGAGCCCCTCTGACTTACTCCCCACTTTGGAACCCACTTCAAGATGCACATCTTTGACTGCGCTTTCTTCCCACCCCCAGCCTTGAGTGCTCAGCCAGCTGGGTACAATAATAAAAATAATATTCCTTGCATTTGACATAGCGCCTGATCATTTCGTTGAGACATTTCAAAGCTCTTCACAGAATATACTGTAAATTGAATTGACTGTATATATTGTGGGTGATCCGACAATCGACTAACAACCGGGTTTCCTACTCGCTGCTTGGTAAACAGAGGTGTGTAGAGCCAGGAAACTTGCCTAAGGTTTCACCCTGCCCGGGAATCGAACACAGGGCCGCTCGCTTGTGAGGCGAGCAAAAACAGTATGGGATGTCCTACCGCCATAAAAGGTTGTATTTAAATCTAAATTGTAATGTACAAGAAAGAGGCTATTCACGTGAAGTTGTTTTGTAGTACAGTATTAGGATTTTAGAAATGCACAGATGCGCTCGATTAACAATACACTGACTGCGGCTGTTGGTTGGAAAGCACTAAAATTCTGCTGTCGATCAGCTGTTGAATGTGTGTCCTGGATTGGTAATCGTCACAAGATAAGATTTGCTGAGTTGCTATGTTACAGTGTTGCAGTGTTGCTTTAATTATTGCTACAAGTGGGTAAAGTCTATTTATATGATCACTGTTAGGAAACTTCCTGGATTGTAAGAAAGGCATCAGAGCCAAGGAGCATCGTATGTACAGTGTAGGTTCCCCAGGGTTTGGGGAAGGAGGTTACAATAATAATCCTTGCATTTGATACAGCTCCTTTCATGTCAGGAGGCTGTCTCAAAACGCTTCACTGGATTCGCCATAAAGTGTGTATTTTGTAGGTGATCGTGGCAGTCGATTTGCACACAGCAACATCCCACAACAGCCATTGGCCAATATTGTCTGGGAGATTGGCGGCCAGGACACTGGGAGAGAGAAACTTCCTTTTCTTTTCGAGTAGTGCGGGAAGATTTTTAACATCCACCTGAACAGGTGGAGACAAGAACGCAGAGAAATGGTATTTAAAAGATCTGCTGTGATTTGTTAAAATTGTGGAACTGGCTCGAAGGCCTGAATGGCCTCCTCCTGCTCCAAATCTCTATATTTGCGTTCCCTCTTCACCATCACTGAAGAAAAATATTTGAAGAGCGAAGGCACATGTCCACAACTGAAGGGTGGCACTTTAATGAATCCAAATAGCTAGCGGGCTGATGTCTAAAGTGGGAGTGCAATGTTGACACACTATCACTGTAAACACACTGCCTCTGTCTTCGCTGCTCAGTGGTGCTGAAAGAAGCTATGTAAAAAGCCTGCAAGGCACGTCTCCGCCCCTGTCCTGGGTGTGTCAGAAAACTGATCTGTTTTTAGCTCCAACCTCCTGATGGTATGTTAATGACAATCCCATAGTTGTACCATGTGTTGGTATTTAAGTGTGATGCCAGTGTTTTCATTGGGCTCATTTCCAGCAACCACTGCAATGATTTGGTGGCTGTCGTTGACAAATCAACATCAAATACATTTTTAAAAATTTACTTCATCCGCTGTCGAGACTACAATTTACACAT